ACTCAGCACAGGGATGGTGGGGGCCCCTCATAATGGGCACAGCGGGTGTACAGACCCGGGAACTCAGCACAGGGATGGTGGGGGCCCCTCATAATGGGCACATGAGGTGTACAGACCCGGGAACTCAGCACCGGGATGGTGGGGGCTCCTCATAATGGGCACAGCGGGTGTACAGACCCGGGCACTCAGCACAGGGATGGTGGGGGCCCCTCATAATGGGCACAGCGGGGGTACAGACCCAGGAACTCGGCACAGGGATGGTGGGGGCCCCTCATAATGGGCACAGCAGGTGTACAGACCCGGGAACTCAGCACAGGGATGGTGGGGGCCCCTTATAATGGGCACATGAGGTGTATAGACCCCAGAACTCAGCACAGGGATGGTGGGGGCCCCTCATAATGGGCACATGAGGTGTACAGACCTGCTGTGTTTGTTTGTGGCCCCATATTTACACGTGTACATGAACTATGAATCAGCATTACATAACACATGACAAGACTTGGATCTCAGCGTCCCCGCCGTTACACATTCACCTTCTATCTGGATATATAATTCTGCGCTCCTCTTCCTCACAGAGCCGGTCGGGGTTCTCACGTCACAGGAATATTTCCCAGAATCCTCCAGCTGAGCGGAATGGACGTCATACTGATTAAGAGAACTAAATGTCTTCACCTCTTTTCCATCTCTGTAGAAGGCAGACTCCAGTTGCGTCCTCGGTCTGTGCGGTCTCAGACTTGTGTTGCAGGTCAGGGTCATGTGATCTCCTTCTACCGCGGGGTGAAGTTCTGTAGAGAGGTTCGGCTTCAGGAACAATTCTATAAAACCAAATAATGATAAAAAAATACAAATTCCATCAGATTGCAAGCAAACGTGAGTCGTCCCATCCCAGACTTCCCTTCTGGGGTATAGCTAGAACCCTGAAGGACCCCGACCATGGTCTCAGACAGTAAAGCAAGTATGTAAAGAGTTCCATGGGAAGTGAGCATGTTCCTCAGCAGCAGCATACGTAATATTTCATATACTGTGTCTTCAGTTTCCTTCTAGCAACCACACCTCCCAATGCACCCAGTGCTGGATTTACTCTCTCTGCTGCCCCAAGGCCAGGTTCCTCAATGCTCCCCCCCTGCCCACCAACCCCCCAATGGGGAATGGCAACCGCTCTGCTCCCTGCTCTCCATCCTGAACGAATGTGCCGTGGTCCCAGGTCCCCCAGAAGAGCGGGGGCCCCCGAAAACCACATCAGGGAGGGAGGCAGTCAGGGGGGTCAGAGGTAGCCTTTGGGGGCAGCGGGGGGATGGACTGACCTGCAGGCTGCTTACAAGTTATTTCGGCGGCATTGTTGAGATCACTTGTACAAAACAAGCGGCGGCTTCCCCGCTATACATTTAGCTCTGCTTGCCCGAAGCCGGGCTAAATGTAGACAAAAACTACCCGCCCGGCGCCCGGAACTCCATGTCCCAGGCACTGGATGATAGGAATTGCACACCCCTGCTGCCCTTCTACTCCCTGCTGCCCCAAGGCCGGGTCTTGGTGGCCTTGTGGGAAATCCGGCCCTGCATCCCTAACCACATCTCACGCTATATATTACCATCCACCCTCAGCCTTATTTTCTGCCACCACCACCCTCTGTAGGCACATCACCGACCCTGTACCTACATCTCATATAGCTTTGGGTGGTCAAAACCAAACAGTGGGGGAGTCAATGGTGGCTTCTGAGGAGGACCAAACTCATGCCATCGCTCTCCTCACACTGCCCTCACATTCTCATTAAAGGGAAGAAATTGTAAGATAAGTGGTAAAAAATAATTTAAGGATGGTCTCAATCTGGACACCCGGGCCACCCAGGGTGGTCTCAATCTGGACACCCGGGCCACCCAGGGTGGTCTCAATCTGGACACCCGGGCCACCCAGCAGGAGAGAGCATTGCAAGGAGGACAATCACAACCATTACTTTGTATAACTACTGTACATATAGTGAATACATCGGAACCTTGTTCACTGTAAAAGACACAGGGGGGCTCTTTGTGACTGGTGGAAAAGGTTTCACCTTCGCATAGAGTAAGGGTTCTCCACTGTAAGAGATGTGATAGTGTTGAAATATCTTCTTCAGGACCTGTTTCTAGCTGACTCAAGGCGAAAGAGGCAGGAGCATGTCCCGGGCATCTGGAGATAGGAATTCCACACCCCTGCTGCCCCTCTACTCCCTGCTGCCCCAAGGCCGGGCCTTGGTTGGCCTTGTGGGAAATCCGGTCACATTAACTTTGTTCCATCTTCTAGCATGAAATGAACTACAGTCTCCCTGACAGATAAATCTCCACACCAGACATCACTGGTGGTGAAAGTACACCTTGGGGTGGGCCTTAGGAACACACTGGTACTCTACCCTCAATGGGCGATGTGACAGTGTCTCTTTTAGGGTTCGTGTTGATGGGTGACCTTTTTCTGCATTCAATGTGAGTTTGGAACAGATATCAAATGCAGGTCGGCAAAATCCTATTGTCTTCAGTTGAACAAGACACATCAATGTCATCCTCTCCTAGGCGAGGCAAGAGGAAGTGGGAGCGAGTACCATCAAAAAAAGGAGATAAAATGCCATTGTGAAAGAGGTCGGGGGTGGCGGGTGGAAGAGGATGATGATGAGTCTAATTCTCGGGTGAAGGTTCACTTTAATGAAGATATTTCTCCCAGATATAGACGTATTGTTGCAGATGCCCCCAATGGTACGGGGTGCAGTCATGAGCACATACCTCTGATGTGTAGGGACTCTTCATCTGTATAAGTCACATACTCCTCCTGGGATAATGTTCTCTCACATCTGTATCTTCCCTCCTGCTTTTTATCTGTGGGAATAATAACCATACCGGGATCTCTGGGTAATGGCTGTATGACATCGCCATCTTTGTAGAACGTCGTCCTGATTACTCTATCCCCAGGGCGGCTGTGACATCTTAGTGCCAGGTCATGACCCTTATATACAAGGACAGGAGCCTGCAGGATGACCGGACCTGCAACACAAAACTGTTATCAGATCAGCAACATAAGCAAGGCATTCAATAAAGCAGAGCACAGAGTAAGGAGGGTGTAGTCGTAAAGTGTTCGCACAGCAAACAGCTCGGTGAGCATCTGAATTTTAGACTCACAGCTCATTGTGGCCACTAGATGGAGCTGAAGAGCACAGGGATATTTCTTATGCTCCTCGGCTCCATCTAGTGGCCGTAATGTGCTTTACACACAATCAAGAGATGTAAACTAAAGACATTAATACAACGTAAGAGCCAGGTGATGTCTGGTGTGGAGATTTATCTGCCGGGGAGATTGTAGTTAATTTCATGCTAGAAGATGGAACAAAGTTAATATGACCAGGGCCGGATTTCCCAGAAGGTCAACCAAGGTCCAGCCTCAGGGCAGCAGGGAGTAGAGGGGCAGCAGGGGTGTGCAATTCCTATCTTCTGATGCCCGGGACATGTAGTTCCGGGCGCCGTGCGGGTAGTTGTTTACATTTAGCCCGGCTTTGGGCAAGCAGAGCTAAATGTACAGCGGGGGAAGCCGCCGCTTGTTATGTACAAGTGATCTAGGCGATGTCGCCTGTAGGTCTGCCATTCTCCATGCGGGGTTGGGAACATGGCCTTGGGGCAGCAGAGAGAGTAAATCCGGCCCTGAATGTGATACCAAATACAACGGGGAATTCACTCCCATCCCAACTCCTGTGAAAATGGAACCCACAAGAAGAGTATGGGAGCCATATGGTGATACCAGTTTGCAAAAGGATGTCACCAGCACACCATTTAAAGGAGAACTACGAGGTCAGGGCTTTTCCCCATCCATGGTCATTCTGAGCCTGATGAAGTGGACCCTTGTGCGGCCCCGAAAGTGCTTGTACTGGAATGACAGGACTCCATTAATAAATGGACTTTTGTTGATCTCACTTAAATGGGGTGCTGGTGACAACCATTTGCAAACTTGTATATCTTCACGGCGCCATCCGTGGTCACTACGAGCACCCACCAGCATTTCAAGAAACATCCTATACCGGTAAGGAGTGCAGCAAGCATATATTTCCTATAGTGATACCAGGCGGATACTCAAGCATGCTCACCTATTGTCCTGTATTGAGCATGAGAATGGCCATTGTGGGAAGGAAATTACGAGCTGAACCCATAAACCCCCTACAGGGGACAGATATGGGGAGGCCCCCAGTCCCAGAGCGCTGAAAACCAAAGAGGAACATTGGATTAGAAAGCGGTTCACTCCTCCAGCATGCTGAAACCCTCACTGCTGACCTCTGTACACAATGACAACTCCAAGCGAGAGGAAAGGGAAGTGTGGGGAGCAGATGACCTGGGCTGCGAAGGGTTACCAGTGTGGGTGTTTTCTGCAAAATATATATATCAGTTTTCCGCCTGCGTGTGGTGAGCAGCTCGCGGTGTGTGCAGAGATACTCGCAACATTCGTAACTCTTCATTTCCTTTCTGCAGATAGAGGACACAGTGCGGCACCAACTCACCGAGCGTTCCATACACATAGTAAAAAGTAAAATGTCCTTTAAGGTATTTAGAAATTATTATAATGAAAGTTTGTCTCAATGTCTCGTCTCTTCCAACTAATGTTTCTCCTTTTATTTCTGAAGACATGAGCTGTGCAATCTACTGATTGGTTGGCTGAGGTTGCAGGTACGACTACAGGGATGCCGGGGGTGCAATCTTTCACATAAAACTCAGGAACAAAATGATTGATGGCTCAGAGAGCTAGTAGCTGTGCTCTCAGCTGATTTGTTGATGGTTGCAGGCTCAGCTAAAGGGATGCCAGGGATGTGCTTGTCCCTCCCTCCACAGATTAACATGCAATTACAATTTTTTCAATCAAATCATTTTGTTTTTCAAGAAATACCTGTTTTAGGACCCAGTGATATCATCTCTGGGTCTGTCTGCTGCTCTGTGCTCCATGTTTGGTGGGAGGAGCTGGGAGGCGTCTGTACACGTCACAGCATTCTGCCTCAGTTCTTTCCCAAAAGCTTTATAGGAAAGAACACATCCCTGCAATCCCTTTTAGATGTGCCTGCCTAACCCTGCTGGCCATTGAGGCCTGCAAATAGCTGTGTGATCGGCTGATTGGTTGACTGATTGCAGGCACGTCTAAAGGGAGACAAGCAGTGGCGTAACAGAGGAGGCGGACAGGTAAGGAATGCGACCTGCCCTCCTGAGGGTGACCCTGCAGAGCTCACCATAGAGAGTCTATGGTGGGCTCTGCAGGTTCACCCTCAGGTGGGATCTCGTGTGGGCTCTTCAAGAAGTATAACTAGAAATCATGGGGCCCCATACAAAATTTAGCTACGGGGCCCTGTGATTCCTAGTTACGCCCCTGGAGACAAGGATGGGTTCTTTGAGATAAAGCTTGGGAACAAAATGATTGATGGCAGAGAAAGCTAACAGCTGTAGAATAACATCCCCAGCTTCCATTTAGATGTGCCTGGAAGTGCAGAGCTAAAGTAAGCAACTTCAAATGGGTTATATGGAGGAGATGCAGGTTTACAGGGAAATTAGAGTAATTTGAAATTAGAGTAATTTGTTTTAACACAGGAGAGGATTTGCTACCAGTGAGGGGAGAAGAGGAAAGGTCGGAGTTCAGCTTTATATAAAGAGGATCTAAGAATGGAAATACTCACCATCAGTGACATCCAGTCTGAATTCATCACTATTAGTGTATGTGGTCCGGCACTAGATCCCGCTGTGTCCTGCCTGGGCAGATGGGATTGTATAGCTCCGTCCTTCTCCCACTTTATTGTTATCCTTAAGCCAGAGATATTTTATTCCACTTCCTTTACTGAATGTCATTGTTATATTCTCTCCTGTAAGTAACTTGTTCCAGTCCGGTGTGAAGATCACTGAATCCTTCTCTGGAACTGATACAATATAAGACACGAGGATACAAAGAGGATAATAAAGACAATGAATGATAATCAGGCTGAATCCTATAACACAGAGAAATCTAGAAGCACATGGACCATTCATGTCATCAGAACTGATACAAGGAATGTACAAAGTATCGGAGACAATGACAGCAACATGACCATAAGCTGCCTGGAAACAGAAAATGAAAAAACGTTTCATTGTTTCTTTTTGGAAAAGGCGATCTAACTGGTTAGTGTAGTGAAGAATTCCAGCTGTTCCAGGGCAGATCGGCATCGCAGATGGTATGTGAAGGGGAGCCGATCTGCCCCGGAACAGCTGAAATGTGACTTATATCCGACTCTGTGACTGCGATCTCACATTCCACAAAGTCGGATAGAAGTGACACTTCAGGACCGATCAGCTGTTCCAGGGCAGATCGGCTCTCCTGCACATATGATCTGCGATGCCGATCTGCCCTGGAACAGCTGGAACTCTTCACCTATTGCCGGTCACATATTCCACCGCCGCAAAACTGGGCGTGATTAGGTTAAAATGTGTGACCACATGACCGGTCACACATTCCAACCCAGTCACAATCTTTGATAGAACAGCGGCGCTGACAGGCAATAGTTATTGGGTCACTTGTCATTGGAGGTGAAACGGGGGGCGTACGCCGAACAACGCTGTCCGGTGTCCCACCCAGCTCATTGACATCACTGGTTGCCCAGACCTTGGCGAGACACAAGCCAGAGCGTCCTCGCTTGACTCTTTGCAACCAGTGACATCAGTGAGCTGGGCGGGAAGCCTCACAGGAGCTCTTAGCAACTTGGGACGCTGTGGCCGCCATTCAGGGAGGCTTATGGTGTTCACAGGTGCTGAGTATTAGCCCTAAAAGTGGTTTATTGGTGTCACTGAGCACAGTATAGAATATGAACCCTGATCAAAAAGATAATTTTCCTTTCTTATTAAATAATTGCTGATAAACACTTCAGGGGTGACATATCTCTATAGTAAATAGAGCAATAATTACGTGTGTAGGATATCATGGTTTCAGCACTATAAGTATTATTGGTAGGAGTCAGGACTTGTTTGGAGCATCTGTAGGTGGCGGTCAGGTCTGTATACTTTATGGGCAGTAGATCGGAGTCAGTAGCCTGGATCGTCTGATTGTTCCTGTAGAATACTGATTGTCTAGTAGGATATCCCAATGGAGTGTGACATCTGAGAGACACATCATCACCTTCATATACATAGAGAGGAGCCTGAAGGATGACCAGACCTGAAACATAACATGACACCCGGTATATTCATGGTGTCACAAAAAGAGCATCAGGGGATTTACGTAATCAAAAGATTTTCTACAGAGGAATAATACTGGGTTTTGGGTTCCATAAATGACTGAGAAAAAGTGCTCCAAAGGCCCTCTCACCACTAATGGTAGAGTCCACCAGATTCCAAACCCATAGAGTAAACCCTTTGTTCAAAAAGAGCACAGGAGCCGCACTCCACCTGATTGACCCAGCAGGATCTAATGGGGATCAGGTCTTTAATATCACAAAGGGTTCTGAAACACGATTCCCTGGACCCTGTTGTCTCTGATGCTGTCCTAATAAGAAAGTATAGTACTCCCTTTTTAGAACATTGATAGCCCCCCTGACCTGACTATTGCGAGATCTGCAGTGGTGGGGTTCCTTCAGGACTGAATGTGTATATCAGAGTCATAGGATTCCAATCGGAGGAAAATACAGAAATTTCATGCAGATAAAGCCACGATCAGAGTCATGCTCAGGAACCCCGGAGACCACGGTACTAATGATTTTCCCACCACACTTGCAAAATCTGTAGTAGAACCCCTGGCAGTTAGGAGTTCCGAGTTCACTATGGGACATAAGCATTATTGTATTGCGGGGCATGGGGTTAACATATTCCCAGTTCTCTTAAAGCATTTCATTATACACAGATATCGGAGTATCGGAGATATCTCACTTTACAAGAACTCACTGTGACGGATCCCGGTACTCAGGATGAGTATGTCCGCCGCTGTATTCTTGCTCAGGAGATATTGCAAACCGCTGACCATTAGCTCCCAGTTTCCCCAGTCACTAGTCGGGACTCAGTGTAGGGTGAAACAAACTCTGATTTATTGAGGAACTGTGCAACCTTTTATACACAAAGTGATCAGATAATAATCCCATCACATCCACCCTGCCCCACCCCCGACATTCTGCCTGCACAACCCCGCAGTGGTCCAGCAGCTAAAGAGCCCCGGACAGCCATAGCGGGAGCCTGGCCAGACGCAGGAGAAAGTCGTTGTCCTGAGCTCCTTCAGAGTACAATGGGAGATAACGAGGGGGGTGCTGGCAGTCTTTTGATGAACCCAGTATAACATAATTAAACATAACCCAACACCAAGACACATATAACCCATAAACTGATCACCATGTCGTCACACTCACCATCAGTAACATTCAGTGTGACAATCTCACTTGTATCTCCATCTCCGGTCTGGCAGTGATAATCTCCGCCATGTCTCATCTCGGCTGATGGTATCACGTAGGTCTCTCCTGTGTGTACTGGAATATTATTATGGTACCAGGAACAGGTCGGTGAAGCAGATTCGGCATTACAGGCCATTGTGATTCTCTCCCCAATGAGGATCTTTTTAAAATCTGGAGTGAAGGTCACCACGGGCCTTTCTGCAGTTCCTACAAAGCAATGTAAATGAGTGAACTGGTTTGTGAAGAAGAGACAATAGCGGTTGGATTACGTGTACAGTTATTACATCTTGGGTTCTGAGGATTGAATTGATTGGGCCGAAGGGATTCCTACTGGAACAGTCCAAACCAATGGAGATCGGGGGATTTTGTTGGGCCTTTTTATATGCTAATTCTTCATCTGTTTGTCTGTCTCCGGCCTGTAGGGGACTCCTGAAGGGTGGAGGTAGGGAGCTTCCATGCAGTCAAGTTCTAACCTTCCTTGAAGAGAACATAGGTGGAGGTTGGGAGCTGCTTTGACTTCATGCCTTGGTGACAGCCTGTGTCTACTATTAACAACATAAAGGACTCACCACCATCAGTGACGGCCACATGTAGGCTTTGAGAACGGCTCACTGCACACACAGGACATCCCATAATGAGGTCATCTGGTCAAATAATCACCTCTTTGCAAGGTAAGACCCACAGAATTCAACCAGAAGAAGTCACATGCTTCTAGCTTGTGGTCCACAGTGACACAAAATGTTGCAGCCATGTGCAGCCTGGGCTTGTAAGACTGTCCGGGGTTTATATATTGCTGATCCAATAATGATTACGATGATGTATAAAAGTCCATTGTGTTGTTGTATATCTTAGATATGAAGGAATGAGTTCCTCCATGGAACACCGAGGTTTGGTACTGTTGTACGGGGACTTTGTGTTAGTGGTTTGTGTCAGCGGCGTAACAATCCCCATAGCGACCCAGGCGGCCGCTATGGGGCCCGGGGCACAGGCCTGGCCGGGACATTCCCACCATGCCGTGCGCGCCACCTTGGTCGCTATGGCATCTCAGGCTGCTGGCTGTCACTGGCGGGTGCGAGGAGGAACGTGCCGCTGTTAGATCATTGACAACCTGTCAGTGACCTGTGCAGCGGCGAGGTTCCTCCTCACAGCCGTTGCTGAGTCAGCGACAGCCGGCAGCTGTGGAGGAGGAAGGCTGGGCCCCCGGCGTCAGAAGCGGAGGCGGGCCCAAGACGGAAGAGGAGGCGGTACCCAGCGACAGAAGAGGAGGCGGGGCCAAGTGATGAAGAGGCGTGGCCTGTCAGCGACCATGGAGGCGGACAGCGGATCGTGGCTGACAGGTAAGAGGTGTGCAGCCCATCTGAGACCCTGCAGAGCCCACCATAGAGAGTCTATCTGGGCTCTGCAGGGTCACTCTCAGGTGGGCTGTTTGGGATTTCAGGTGGGCTCTGCAAGGGGCATAACTAGAAATCACGGGGCCACATACAAAATTTTGCTACCTGTGATTTCTAGTTACGCCCCTGGTTTGTGTGGAACCAATAATGGCTCCAGAAGCACCCAGACTCTGACTAGCCGTCTCAGGTAAGAGAAGCAGTTCATGGACTCACCCTGCCCACATATCCCCAGAGGAAAATTAGACTTAGGTTATAAATGTGACGGGGGAAGGTCATTTCAAATAAATTAAATACCAAAGGAAATATTTGAGCCGGTGACAGACATCTATCATTGTAATTATATGTTGAGGGCTTACCTTGGTCCTCTATCATCAGATCTGCAAGAGAGAAAATCATGTGTCATACAAATGTATTGCAGGGTTACCCAGAGCCGTACATTCAGCTCCAATGTTCAAGGACCACCAATGGGTCAGTTGCCTGTCAGTGGTCCCTGAGGACTAGTCTGGTAAATATTGACCATAAACCTTTCCTATCATGGTGAGAAATTTGTCTCAGGGAGGTAAGTTTGGTTCAAGATGGCAGCCACAGACCCGGAACCTTTCCACCACAAAATGTGATTCCCTGAACCCTGTTACAGTATGTGTAAGCAAACAATGGCGGCTTCTCTGTTTCTATATCTCCAGCTTCCCTTTAAGTTCTAAATTTAGTGTTTCTAAGGAAGGGGCGGGAACTCTCTCAATGAGAACACAGGAAGTTGGTGGACATCTCTGAGAGAACACAACTCTAAATATTGGGGAACTGAGAGTGACTAGATATCTCTCTCCAAGGTTTAGCAATGTACCGGGATGGCCAAATCTAATCTCCAGGCCTAGAGTATGGTTAGGCCCACTGACTTTGTCTTTTATCATCTTTACCCCAATGATCTGACAACCATTCAGCCCAGCAACTTGAACAATGTAACCCCCATCCAAGACTTGACCGGACAATGGTGATTTGCTAATGAGAACATGATGAGTCTATAACTTTCTCTCCTTCCATCATGTTGACTAAGGAGACTGAGTTACCCGTGTGGCTTTAAACGCTGGGCTATGCTCCTGATATAATGGGGTATAAATGTAGACCATGTTCCTGGTATGGTGGGGGTATAAATACTGCGGTATGTTCCTGGTATGGTGGGGGTATCAATACTGGGGTATGTTCCTGGTATGGTGAGGGTATAAATACTGGGGGATGTTCCTGGTATGGTGGGGGGATAAATACTGGGGGATGTTCCTGGTATGGTGGGGGGATAAATACTGGGGGATGTTCCTGGTATGGTGGGGGGATAAATACTGGGGGATGTTCCTGGTATGGTGGGGGGATAAATACTGGGGGATGTTCCTGGTATGGTGGGGGGATAAATACTGGGGTATGTTCCTGGTATGGTGGGGGTATAAATACTGGACTATGTTCCTGGTGTGGTGGGGGTATAGACACTGGGGTATGTTCCTGGTATGGTGGGGGGTATAAATACTGGGGTATGTTGCGGGAATAAATACTGGGGTATGTTCCTGGTATGGTGGGGGTATAAATACTGGACTATGTTCCTGGTGTGGTGGGGGTATAGACACTGGGGTATGTTCCTGGTATGGTGGGGGGTATAAATACTGGGGTATGTTGCGGGAATAAATACTGGGGTATGTTCCTGGTATGGTGGGGGTATAAATACTGGACTATGTTCCTGGTGTGGTGGGGGTATAGACACTGGGGTATGTTCCTGGTATGGTGGGGGGTATAAATACTGGGGTATGTTGCGGGAATAAATACTGGGGTATGTTCCTGGTATGGTGGGGGTATAAATACTGGACTATGTTCCTGGTGTGGTGGGGGTATAGACACTGGGGTATGTTCCTGGTATGGTGGGGGGTATAAATACTGGGGTATGTTGCGGGAATAAATACTGGGGTATGTTCCTGGTATGGTGGGGGTATAAATACTGGACTATGTTCCTGGTGTGGTGGGGGTATAGACACTGGGGTATGTTCCTGGTATGGTGGGGGGTATAAATACTGGGGTATGTTGCGGGAATAAATACTGGGGTATGTTCCTGGTATGGTGGGGGTATAAATACTGGACTATGTTCCTGGTGTGGTGGGGGTATAGACACTGGGGTATGTTCCTGGTATGGTGGGGGGTATAAATACTGGGGTATGTTGCGGGAATAAATACTGGGGTATGTTCCTGGTATGGTGGGGGTATAAATACTGGACTATGTTCCTGGTGTGGTGGGGGTATAGACACTGGGGTATGTTCCTGGTATGGTGGGGGGTATAAATACTGGGGTATGTTGCGGGAATAAATACTGGGGTATGTTCCTGGTATGGTGGGGGTATAAATACTGGACTATGTTCCTGGTGTGGTGGGGGTATAGACACTGGGGTATGTTCCTGGTATGGTGGGGGGTATAAATACTGGGGTATGTTGCGGGAATAAATACTGGGAGGTATGGTGGGGTATAGACACTGGGGTATGTTCCTGGTATGGTGGGGTATAGACACTGGGGTATGTTCCTGGTATGGTGGGGTATAGACACTGGGGTATGTTCCTGGTATGGTGGGGTATAGACACTGGGGTATGTTCCTGGTAAGCCGGGGTATGTTCATGACACTTATTAGTACTGAAGAAGCTACTTGGATGAGTGGTGAAAGGTCAGCGTCTTCCACACTACAGACCCGCTGACTGGGACTAATGACTACTAGCTGCACCATGACCTAGATCACTGAGAGACTTTGTGACAATGGGACAATATTGTGCTCGTATGAAGAATCTAAAGTCCAATGCAGACATCTGTACACGCAACATGGCGAATAGTATAATATGAACATGTCCTGTTGGGCGCAATGAACACTTCACAAGTCTGTGCACCAACACAGGATGAGTAGCGAATACCACAAACAAGTTCCATCATCAGCTTCTCTGCAACTCAAATGTGTGTCAGATACAAGGAAACCCTTTCTATAGTTTCTACAAGAAGAACCGTGACCACGTTGTATACACTATATCGCCATTAGTATTGGGACGCCTTTACACGCACATGCGCTCTAATGGCCCCCCAGTCTTAGTCCGTAGTGTTCAGTATTGGGTTGGCTCCGCCCTCTAATGGCCCCCAGTCTTAGTCCGTAGGGTTCAGTATTGGGTTGGCTCCGCCCTCTAATGGCCCCCCAGTCTTAGTCCGTAGTGTTCAGTATTGGGTTGGCAGTGTATAATGATTAGCCTGTTAGATGGGATCCCGGTCAATCGCTGGCCTTAGGGTCACTGCTTTGGGGAAGGGTGATATTAGCTGGACGGCGTTCTTCATGCAGTGCTCCTCTTAGAGAAGACTAAAGTAGAATAAAAGTCTCATTTGTTTCACATATATCAAGCAGTGTATATACTGTATATATAGATGGGCTAGCAAGCAGTAGATGTATGCGCAGGCCCGGATTCCCCACAAGGCCACCGAGGCCCAGCCCTGGGGCGGCAGGGAGCAGAGGGGTGGCAGCGGAACATAAAGTCCTGTTCGCCGGGCGGTAAGTTGCCTTCTACATTTAGCTCTGCTTTGGGAAGGCGGGGCTAAGTGTAGTGTGGCGAAGCTGCTTGTTCGTTTACATGTGATCGCGGCGATGTCGCAGCGATCACGTGTAAAATGTGTGCAGCCTGTCCCCCCTCCCCCCTCCCGCACCTACAGAGGGTTAAAACTAACCCCCAGGACTTCCGGTTCGGGCGCCCGATGATCTAGACGAGCACCCCGGAGCTCCGTCCC